TTGCCGCTCTGCCCCGGCGGGTCCCCCAGTCCCAGGCCTCTGCCGGCCCGGCCGAGTCGCTGGGGGCACCTGAGAGAAAAAGACGTCCTTGCGGTCAGTGCCCTCGGTGGCGAACTCCTCCACGATGCCCTCGGGGCTGATACCATGCTCGGCGCACAGTTGTTTCCAGAACTCGAACCCAACTGGGAGGGGGCAGAAGGGGGAGAAAAATAATATCTGGGTCTCGGCAGGTTCACATTATCCGCTGGAGAACTGAGCTCCTGGGTCCAGGGATAAAAGTCAAGCCTCATGCCTCCTCCCACTCCGTCTGAAGAAAGGACTGTTAGCCAGAGACCCGGCAGGCGAGGTCCCCTCGGGGTTGGGCAACTGGACACTAGGTCAGCAATGTCCCGCCTTTTGGAGGAGAATTACGATTCCGGGCGGACAGATGGAGTCTAAGACCTCACAGAGAGATCACATTGAACTAAGAAGCCTGGCTAATGGAGGGGTCGAAGGTTCGCTCACTCTGATTGCCGCACTGGCCCAACTGTAGGGTGATGATTTCCCTCGGCATTGCTCCTCAGGAACCGGCGCGTAGCAGCCGCTCCCGCCAGGAACACCGCCTCCCGCGGGTCCGCTAGCCGCAAGACGCAGGCGCCGAACAACTCGCTCCACCCACAAATTTTCTCCGCTCCAATTAGAACTAAGTTCTGGCGATGGCACTTCCTCATTCGTTTGGCTTCAGTCGTGCTCATCGCGCGTGCGCAGCTTCGGATTGCGCTCAGCGACTCTGTTCAAGGGACGTCTTTAACGCGACGACTTTTCCCTCTGGGTGGATGCGTGCTTGAGCTTCTGCGCAGGCGCGTTGCGGTGGGAAGCGGCCTGCCCAGCCGAGGCGCGCATCTGCGCAGTTTGTGTTATTGTGACTGTCGGGCCGTGGCCCCGGATGTTGTGGCTGCCGAGGAGCGCCCTGTGGTGCCTGGGGCTGAACGCGGCTTTCTGGTGAGAGAACCGAACCCTCGGAACGCCTCCGAGGCGTAGATTTCGTCAGGTTTCTTGGGGCTCTATCTCTCGCCTGCCCTGTTTTCTTCGCTGCAATGACTCCTTGTACCTAATTCAGCCTCCCCTCCTTCCACTCCATCCCGCCTCCAGGCTTTGGCACCCCGGTTCTTCCTGGGGCCTCCACCCGCTTCTGGGAACGTCTTGAGCAGCTCGCAGTGAGGGAGAGCAGTGTCTCTTTAAGGCCATTACCTCTCTTCTCTTGTCTGCTCAAGTGTGGTTTGAAAACTTTCCAGAGATTTTAGTGTTTATTGTTGGAACAGAGGTGTGAGGCCTTGAAGAGGTGTGATAAGAAAACAAGCTTGATCGATTCGTATGAATTGGCATGTTAGATACCTTCTCTGTCAGTAAGGAAGTGTGTGAAGTCTGATCTGCAGTGTGAGCTGCACATAAAAGAAAATTATAAGCTTTTAAAGAACAGTTATGAAGTCGTGATAGTGAGATTTCACCTGTTTCAAAGCCACTTAGGATTGCAGCTCCTCCCTGTCGCAAGGAATTAGAGAAGCATCCTTAGTTATGGTTTATAGGCAAAGAAATTGAGGATGTCTAATAGTGTGTGTGTGTTTTCCTGAGCTGGAAAAGTAGCACTATAAATATGCTTTTAAGTATCCGTATGTGTCATGCTCTGTGAAAATGGAAATGGAACTGCTCCACTCAGTTGTCATCACCTAAAGTGGACTTTGGTCTTCATAGATCTACCAAGCATAGTTTAGATTTATTCATAACTAGGGAAGTGTTAACCATCAAATTCCAAGGGAATTGACACATGGGGGGCTTCTACAGCTGAATGAAATAAGACTTTTGGATAAAATTTAAACAAAGTTTGTGGGGGTTTTTTCCCCTAAAAATAGCTTACTTAAAGTTCCTTTTATTTTATTTTAGGTTTGTGCCATAGGGTGTGTGCAAATGCCAGAGAGATACAGAGATTAAGAGAGAGAGAGAGGAAAATGAGAAGTCACCTCCCCACAATCCCTTCTCTATTCTCCCCTTGGGTTTCTGAGTTCACATACGCATATGCCCAATGTGATTATTATTTTTTTTTCTTTTTTGGAAAGATTTTTGCTATAGGGCGTATGTGCTTGCCAGAAAGAGAGAGACAGAGACAGAAAGCAAGAAATAACCCCCAGGGGGGATGGCTATGCAGTAATCCCTTCTCCCCCATTCTCCTCTTGGGATCTTGGGAATGCATGCACACGCGCCTGGCGTGAGTTTAAGCCACCGGGTTCAGGATTCGAACCGTGGTTGACTACATGGGAGTCCAGCAACATAGCCATTACACCAAGTGCTGGTCCCACCCAGTGTGATTTTTAAGTCACTGGGTTTGGGAATCTAACAGCAGTTGACCATGTTGGAGTCCAGCATGTAACCAGTACACCATCTGCTGGCCTCTATATATTCTATTTTTTAGGTTTTTGCTATAGAGGGGCCCTGGTGGAGGTGCTGGGGCCTTACGAGCCTCTGCTGAGCCGGGTCCAGGCAGCCCTGGTGTGGGAGCGGCCAGCCAGGAGCGCCCTGTGGTGCCTGGGGCTGAACGCGGCTTTCTGGTGAGAGAACCGAACCCTCGGAACGCCTCCGAGGCGTAGATTTCGTCAGGTTTCTTGGGGCTCTATCTCTCGCCTGCCCTGTTTTCTTCGCTGCAATGACTCCTTGTACCTAATTCAGCCTCCCCTCCTTCCACTCCATCCCGCCTCCAGGCTTTGGCACCCCGGTTCTTCCTGGGGCCTCCACCCGCTTCTGGGAACGTCTTGAGCAGCTCGCAGTGAGGGAGAGCAGTGTCTCTTTAAGGCCATTACCTCTCTTCTCTTGTCTGCTCAAGTGTGGTTTGAAAACTTTCCAGAGATTTTAGTGTTTATTGTTGGAACAGAGGTGTGAGGCCTTGAAGAGGTGTGATAAGAAAACAAGCTTGATCGATTCGTATGAATTGGCATGTTAGATACCTTCTCTGTCAGTAAGGAAGTGTGTGAAGTCTGATCTGCAGTGTGAGCTGCACATAAAAGAAAATTATAAGCTTTTAAAGAACAGTTATGAAGTCGTGATAGTGAGATTTCACCTGTTTCAAAGCCACTTAGGATTGCAGCTCCTCCCTGTCGCAAGGAATTAGAGAAGCATCCTTAGTTATGGTTTATAGGCAAAGAAATTGAGGATGTCTAATAGTGTGTGTGTGTTTTCCTGAGCTGGAAAAGTAGCACTATAAATATGCTTTTAAGTATCCGTATGTGTCATGCTCTGTGAAAATGGAAATGGAACTGCTCCACTCAGTTGTCATCACCTAAAGTGGACTTTGGTCTTCATAGATCTACCAAGCATAGTTTAGATTTATTCATAACTAGGGAAGTGTTAACCATCAAATTCCAAGGGAATTGACACATGGGGGGCTTCTACAGCTGAATGAAATAAGACTTTTGGATAAAATTTAAACAAAGTTTGTGGGGGTTTTTTCCCCTAAAAATAGCTTACTTAAAGTTCCTTTTATTTTATTTTAGGTTTGTGCCATAGGGTGTGTGCAAATGCCAGAGAGATACAGAGATTAAGAGAGAGAGAGAGGAAAATGAGAAGTCACCTCCCCACAATCCCTTCTCTATTCTCCCCTTGGGTTTCTGAGTTCACATACGCATATGCCCAATGTGATTATTATTTTTTTTTCTTTTTTGGAAAGATTTTTGCTATAGGGCGTATGTGCTTGCCAGAAAGAGAGAGACAGAGACAGAAAGCAAGAAATAACCCCCAGGGGGGATGGCTATGCAGTAATCCCTTCTCCCCCATTCTCCTCTTGGGATCTTGGGAATGCATGCACACGCGCCTGGCGTGAGTTTAAGCCACCGGGTTCAGGATTCGAACCGTGGTTGACTACATGGGAGTCCAGCAACATAGCCATTACACCAAGTGCTGGTCCCACCCAGTGTGATTTTTAAGTCACTGGGTTTGGGAATCTAACAGCAGTTGACCATGTTGGAGTCCAGCATGTAACCAGTACACCATCTGCTGGCCTCTATATATTCTATTTTTTAGGTTTTTGCTATAGAGTTCATCCACTCGTGGAGACAGTGAGATGGAAAGTGAGAAATCACCTCCCAGGAGGATGGCCATGCCATAGTTCCTTCTCCATTCTTCTCATGGGATCTTTCTTGAACACATGTGCCCATGCACCTGGTGTGAGTGTTGAGCCCTCCAGGTCCGGGACTTGAACTGTGGTCGACTGTGTGGGAGTTCAGCAATGTAACCATTATGCCATCTGGTGGTCCCTTGTTTGAGAGATTTTTCAGTGAGCTGTATTAGAACCAGTAAATCCAAGTTCGTTGACTAAAGACACAGGTTCAGCTATTAAGTTACTCCTCTCTCTCAGTGTGAAGGAGGCCCAGGTTAGGTGTCACAGCTTTCTCTGGCATTCCTTGCTTCCAGTGTCTGTAATAAACATAAGCTTTTCCTACCACATTCTTCACTTATTTTTCATCTCCCTTACCCCTAGATACCTGCCAACTTCCCTCCTATTACTGTCAGAAACCCTATAAGCAGCCTCATTGAGGAGTGTTTATCCAGTCAGAATTTCATTCCCCCCAGAATACCCCGAGGAAGAAGGTTGTTCCTTATTAAGCCAGTTCGTGCCAGAGTATGACTGGAGGATGGGGCAGGGGAAGCAATACCTTTGAACTGGGGCATGTGTGAATTTTAAGCCAAGCTTCATTCGTGCACATGAATTGGTAGCATGTATTAATATGTTATTTTCAAGGAGAGGACGTTTCAGGTGCCTTTGCCTGGTAGTACTGAAGCGAGGTACGGAGTTGGGGGCTGCACTGTAAGGAGCTACTCTGACTGGCATCTTTCAGTATTATGTTAGCTTTAATTTGCTGGCCCCCAACAGTGTTTACTTAGGTTTGCTAATACACTGTTTAGAATTTCCCTCAGGACCCCTTTTGTACTCTGGGTCTGTAAAAGCATTGTGGTGATTGGTCTTTATCTCTGGCATTTCCTGGTGGCTTGCCTACTGGGTGTCTAGAACACAGTTATGTTTGTTACATTCCCATCACATTCTAGGAAGGTGGGAGAGGGAGATAGCAAAATGAGGGTGTGATCCTTGAGGCCGAAATAACAGTTGAGTGTGTGCCATTTATGGCGAGGACTTGTGAAAGGTACAGATAGTGTTAAGGTCCCAGAGATGGGTAGTGTGGCATTGGGGTTCACAGAATTAGTGGGGAAATGACCTTCTTTGGAAGACAGTTGAGATTTAAAATGAAATTTAGCCTTGATGTTCCAGTAATCCTGAGTATGAGCGCTGCCGTTTCACTTAGTAATGTCCAAGAGCGACTATTTGCTCTCAGACATTTGAAATGTTGAGGACAGGGACGAGAGGATCATTAGTTCAGATCAGAAAAATCAAATCTGAAATATTTTTCTTTCATTATTTCTTTTGAATAATGACACACCATTAACTGAAAGGTTTTTGTGCATTTCGAGAAGTACTAAAAAATCATCAAAATTCAGGTAGGTAGCTCTTAGCTTTCTGGGTGTTGCATTGTCAGTCACAGTTTTTCTGTACCTGTGAATATGTCCCTCTTAACATCTGAAAAGAAAATAAAAGAGCTCGATGTCGATACCTTGTCACTGTAGTATTTCAAGGCCTTCACTCTTTTTTTCTTTTTCAGGTTCCAGAGAAACTATGGTGGCCATATCAGAGATCTTCCAGTTTAGATTACTTCTGGTCACCGATTTGTTATCATCTCTAGGATAACAGAAATGTCAGGCCTTCCCTTCTAATAGCTTGTATTTTTATTAGCCTCAGCCCCGCCAGTAAATGAGTGATTTGAGGAAAGAATATGAGAGAGTCAGGAATGTATCCTGAAAGGCTCAGAAAAGAACAGGTTTGAGTAACTTTTTGGTTTGACTCACTGTAGGAGATGGGGGAGGTTAAGTGGGCCCTAGAAATGGATGTGAACTCCAACCTCCCTCTCCCTCACTCCACAAAGGACATGGTTCAAGAAGGGCTACATGCCTGCTAAACTCCTTTCCAGTTTGAACATTTTGTGGTTCTTTTTTTTTTTTTTGGAGAGGTTTTTGTTATAGGACGTGTGCACTCGCCAGAGAGACAGAGAATAGACAGAGAGAAATCACACCCCAGGGGGGATGGCCACGCTGCAATCCCTTCTCCTCCATTCTCCTCTTGGGATCTTGGGCATGCACGCACATGCGCCTGGTGTGAGTTTAAGCCACCGGGTCCGGGACTCGAACTGAGGTCTACTACATGGGAGTTCAGCGACATAGCCACTACGCTAACTGCTGGTCCCAACATTTTGTGGTTCTAGGTGGTCTTTTTTTACTGTTGTTGCTTTAAGAATTATTTAATTTTATCATTATTATTATTTAAATTTGCCATAGGGCACTTATGCTCACCATAGAGAGAGACAAAGAGATAGAAAGTGAGAAAGCAAGCCACCAGGTCCAGGACTTGAACCACTGTCAGCCATGTGGGAATCCAGTGCCTTAATCACCATGCCACCTACTGGCCCCGCTAGGTGGTCTTTGAACTAGGGATACTGATTTAGAGCAATCCACAAACTGATTGCTATTGAAATCTCTATTGGGATCTACTTTTATAGTCACTAGTTTGAGTTAACCATATCATATATATTCCTGGGTTTATTACTGTAGAATCTGTTGTTTTCACAAATGAAAAAAAAGTGTATTCTCTTCCCCTCAAAACACTCTAAGTTAAAAAATTACTTGAGAAGTATTTAAGAGTATAGCACAATTTAAAAGATTAGAATTTGAATAAGAAAAAAAAAAAAAGTAGTGGGACCAGCAGATGGCCTTTGTTTATTTAGTTGGACTTCCACATGGCCGACCATGGTTTGAGTCTTGGACCTGGTGACTTGAAACTAACATGGGGCATGTGTGCATGCGTTCCCAAGATCCTGGGAGGAGAATGGAGGAGAAGGGATTGCTGTGTGGCCATCCCCCTGGGGGATGATTTCTCACTTTCCCTTTCAGTGTCTATCTCTCTCCAGCAAGTGCACATGCCCTAAGGTAAAAAATCTCTTTTAAAATAAAAAAGAAGAAGAAAGAAAATAGTAAGGAGCAAGAAGTAGAAGGGAGGGTCTGTTCTAAGTACAGACATTTGTTCTGTAAAAACAAAATTTACACATCAAATTTCAGATGAAATCTATAGAGCAAAAATGGTTTTGATGATATTCTTTGGAGGGTTCTTATTTTGTTATCCAACAAGACTTCTGAGGATGCCTGGTTTACTTTGCCTCTCTTTGTCTTTAGTTTTTATCTGTCCTAATTTGAAGGTTGAATACATTCTCTCCCATTGATCATGAGCAGCTAACTGGTTTCATTTCTGATTTTTTTAAAAGAATTATTTAATTTCCTTCCTTCTTTCGTTTCTTTCTTTCTCTTTCTTGTTCTTTTTCTCTTTCTCTGTTTTTCTCTTAAATTTAACCAGAGAGGGACAGAGTGAGGGAGAGTGAGTGAGAAAGAGAGTTAGAGAGAAAGAAAAACTGCCAGGTCAGGACTTGAACTTTAGTTGGCCATGTGGTAATCCAGTGTC